CCTTGGCAGTCTCAGGCGAGCCCCTGGAACGGGCCTGGTTCAGTCACGGGTCCCGCACGCTTCCGCTGAAGGACAGGCTGCAGAGCTCGAGAATATGGCAGGACTGGGTAGGGCGGAATTCTGCTGTGCTGCTCACAAATCTGTGACCTTCTCCAAAAAAAGACAATAACAACGACACCAGCCTGGGGGAAGGCGGGGCTGGGGGCCCCAGGGCTCTGTGGACACGTGCCTGTGAGGATATCAATGCGTCAACCACGGAAAGAATGCATGAGGGGAAAATAGGATCTCCTATACAAAGAGCTCTTACAAATCAATAATAAAAAGCCAACGATCTAGTAGAAAAAGCAAACGAAAACAGAAGTAGCGATGCTATAGACGGGCAGATAAATGACATTCTGATAAGAATCAGATGCTGAGAGCTGCTTCCATTTCACTGGACAGTCCCATAGCACCTGCGCTGGCAGCACTGTTCCTGAAGCCAGTTTGGCCAAATCTCCCTGAAAGAGGACGCTTGATAGATACTTAAGTCCAGCGAGTCCTGAGCTGGGAACTCATCTACGAACACCTCTGCCTAAGTCCCCAGGCAGGCCCAGGGACAGGGACAGCCACTTTTTCTCTGCCCTGTCTGTGGAACAAAGGGCAGGTGTAAAGGCCCAGAGGCTGGCAGGTTGCCTTGGGGAAGCAAGGAGATGGGGACGCCAACCCATGCCCTCCCCTCCCCCTTCTCGCCTACTGGCCGGGTCGGCCAGATCCCAAGACAGAGGGTCCCATAGCTCTCAGGGCGTGCGCCCCACCCACTCCCGCTCCACAGCCAGCGTCCAGATCAAGGCCAGAGGGGCAAAGGGGCCTGCGTGGGATCACAGGGAGGCCGGCAGACGGCCCGGGGCTAGCTCAGGCCCCACCGCATCACTTGGGGCCTTTCGGCCTCCAGGAGATGCGGGACCCAAGGGAGGGAGGGGAGACATCTGGCAGGAGTTGACGTGGGTGGAAGGTCCGGGAGGCTTCTTGAAGATAGACGGCGGGTGGGCCCCGGGGGACTTCCTGGAGGAGGAGGCGGACGAAGCGCCCAGAAACATTGGAAGGATTCCTGCGCTACTCAGCGTCCCCGAAGCCGCAGGGGAGCGCGGGAGGCGAGACGGGCGGCGCCGAGAAACAGCGGCTGCGGGCTAGCGGCGGGAGAGAGGGACTCTGAGCCGGCCGCCACCGCCGAGCAGCCCTCCAGCCGTCCGGCTTCTGTTCCTCTGTGCGTCCTCCGCGGATCTGCGGCGGGCCG